ATATATATATATATATATATATATATATAGTATGACGGTATTACCATGAATGTTTGATGATAATATGACGTTTTGAAAATTTTACTTTAGTAATACCATGTTTTTGCATATAATACAATGGAAATTCAAAAGCACTGACATTATGTTGTAGTACTTTATGTACTATGGGATTTACGTTGTAATTAATAGTATCATGTACTAATTGTGTTTTCAGATGTGGTTCCATGGTAATACCACAGTTTCTAGTTGGTGGTTTTAGGACATGATATGTTTCAACATTACCATGATCTTTGAGGGAACACTTACAGTAAATACCATGGTATATGACTATGATAATTATTTAGAACCATAATAGTAATATACTTATAACATTAGATATATTAATAAAAAATAAAATATATACATATAAATAAAAAATAAAATATCATTATTTTAAATGATAATTTATATATATATATATATATTTTTTTTTTTTTGCCAAAAAATATTCAAAAACACTGTTTTCTGGACTCTTTTATGCCAGTTAAACCACAGTATTTTTGGTATCTTACAGAACCATACACATACAAATTGTACAGTACATGAATATGGTAATTATTTTAAAGGTTCTTGGTATTATCATCAAATGTACCATTGGTAGCACCACAGTAAAGGGCTGTCCTTCCCTCATTTCACTCGTTGAGTTGTTTTGAAGCTTAAAGGTGTTTCCGAATTGTGCTCAACTGGCATCAGAGTGAAGCTGGTAACTTAGAAACAGGCATGTCTGAGCGCGCACACACACACACACACGGGGGATGGAGGCGGTGGGTGTCTTCCATGGAAATAAAAGAAGAATATCTGTGTTCCACCATGGCGGTGCATGTGTGAGAAGCGTGTGTGTGTCTGTATGTATGTGTGAGTTCGCTTGCATGTGCAAATGTGCATGAAAAAAAACAAAAGAACACTGTGTATTAACAGAATAAATCGTGTTGCTGAGCGGAACGGTGCAATCAGTCCATGAGAGCTTGTGTTCATTACTGCTCAAAGCCGGAGGTTTGTGGGTTCCTGAAGAACCTCATACAGACAGAAACGGTTTGATTAATTATTAATCATATATTAGAGCGTTTACATCAATAAAAAGTGCCGGAAAAAATGCTGAAAACAAACATCATAGTACTCCGATCACACCGCCCGCCCAATAAATGATCCATAAACCTGCCAAGATTTAATGCACGTCCTCTGTCTGTGCAAGTGAATGCTAATCTGGAATAGAAGTTTTCTGACAAATTTTGTGATGTAATTAGTGCTGAAATTTTCCATCAACTTCCCAACATGAGCCTTGTGTGCTGATGGATGCCGATTTATTTCCTTTTAATTAAGGACAAAACAACCCAGTGGGTGTCCCGAAACACACACAGAGGGACACACTAATAGATTCAGATCACGCATGCCTAATAAATACACAGGTAACAGGTGTAATGTCATTCTTATCAGTGTCACAGAGTTCAGATTCTCATCCGGCACAAATACTTCAACCTTTTTCGTGTTTAAGCATAAACTATTAAGCATAATGCATTACAAAAGACCACAATATCCTCAAATTGTGCATTCTAAAGAACAATATTCTAATTGAATTAAAATGGAATAGGAATTAGCATTAGAAAAAAATAGAAACATTTCAATATCATGGTATATTAATATGATCATTATATATATATTATATTTTTTTTTTTAAATAGAAACATTTAAAAACCAAGGTATATAAATAATTATAATAATTTAGCACAACAAACAATAAATAAATAAAAAATTAATTTGTCAACTTATTTTTATTTTTTTTTGGAGACAGTTTGTCAGCATCTGAGGCTATTTTCACAGAAAAACAGAGTAAAAAGGTAAGTAAACATTTAAAGGGAGATAATGGATAGACAAACAAGATATATACTTTACATACAGAAGGATAAAGTGTATATACATTTTGTTGGTGCATTAGTGAAACACATACTTCTGCTCAGTTACTGTCCATTTGGCAGATGATTTCATCATCTAAAGTGACGTACAGGACACTAAGTGCAGGGACAGTCCCACTGGAGATGTCTCAGGGTTAAGAGCTCAGAGAGGAGAGAAACTGTCGATGCACTCACTGAGGCCAATCACAATTCAAGTTTCTCTAATAGTGCTTTGCAAGCACTTTAGGTCCAGCAAATAAAACTCTTCATTCCAAGAAGCATTTTTCACTGTATAGGACTCTTGAGTCAGATGTATGGTTCAATAAATTAATAAAGAAAGAAATATTTTAAGAAATTATAAATAAAAAAGGTAATTGTGACATTTTCATCACACATTTTATCTCAAAGTTCATACCTTAATATTCAGACTTTTTTTCCTCTGAATTCTGAGTTTACATCTCGCAATTCAGATTTTTTTTTCTGCCACAAAATAAAAGAATAAACAAGATAATTGTGACTTTTCATCTCATAATTCAGATGTTTTGTTCCTACCAATTGTGAGTTTATATCTGACAAATCAGACTTTTTTCTTATAATTCGAGTTAATGCATTGCAATTCAGACATTCTTTCCACAATTCTGCATTTATAGCTCACAAATCTGAGAAAACAGTCAGAATTGTGAGATATAAACTCAGAATTGTGAGGGGAAAAAATCCAAATTGTGAGTTAAAAACACGCAATTACCTTTTTTATTTTTATTTTAAATAGTAACATTTCACAATGTTACTGTTTTTACTGTATTTTTTAATCAAATAAATTCAGCCTTGATGAGCATAAGAGACTTCTTTCAAAAACATAAAAAAATCTTACCCCAAACTTTTGAATGAAGTGTAGATCTTGCACAACTACACATTCTATAACTATCATAACTAGTTCACTAGAAAGTCACTTTAGTATCTGCTAAATAGATTAAACAAAGTTTTGTTTTTAAGGCTAGATACATTCTTACTGGCTAAAAGACCATTTTCGGCAAATGACTAATTGCACTACAAAAGAAAAGTTCCTTGTTCCAGATTGGAATTTTCTCTCTAAAATACTCTTTAAATGACAGGAGATCTCAGGGTCTGGGTAGGGAACACAGAATCCTCTTACAAGAGCAGATAACAGCTTGTGTTTTCTCTCACAGTGAGCTTTGTCTGGCTCTGGAGGAAGTGCTATATGACGCCGCTCCTTTATTATGGTGGAGAATAATTCACTCTCTTGGATCCCCGTCATGTAATAAAATTCCACCTATTAAACGCAGCTGGCTCTCGTTAGAAATCTCCCCACTTCTGTCACTTCTGTCACCATCGCATAATGACGCAGAAGATATTCTGGGTTTAATTCTAGTGCGTGGATGAGGGACGCGTTCGAAATACAGAGAGTGACAAGAAGAACATGAAGCTCAAAGAAAAAAAAAAGTGCACATCAATGTTGGATACCAGACTTTGAGATCAACCTGTGGATGTTATTGGATGCTATTAGAAACCCCTCGCTTGCTCACATGGGGAATAAATGTTGCAAAGCAAGTTGTGCAGCTTCAAATATTAGTATGTGCTGTGGATGATCCAGATATAAACAAAAATATGCTGCATTATAAGTTCTCAACAAAAAAAAAAAGGGAATGAATAAATGAGCAAGCAAATGAATAAAATAAAACAGAAGTATTTTAACAACATTGGACCCCTTTAACTTATATTGTATAGACAAAAAAATAAAAATTAAAAAACATAATTTTTTCCAAATATTGACTTTTGGTTACGCAAAACCGTCTCCAGGTTACGTATGTAACCATGGTTCCCCGAAGGGAACGAGACGCTGCTTCGAAACGCTACGGGAACGCCTCCAGCGTGACCACGCTCTGAATCACATGTGTAATCAGTCCAATGGATGGGCGAGACGTCACGGGCGGGGTGACGTAGCGACCAGGAAGCATAAAAGCACGTGCGGTGAAACCGGCGTCAGCTTCTAGGAGTGAAGCAAGCACTGGCAGGGATGCCGGAAGTATGGCCCTGAGACGCAGCGTCTCGTTCCCTTCGGGGAACCATGGTTACATACGTAACCTGGAGACGTTCCCTTTCAGGAACTCGAGCTGTGTTGAAACGCTACGGGAACGAGAATGCCCACGCCGCCAGACTTGGAAATCCCTGCCTAGTGGGAACGAAGAGCACAACTAAGGCGAGAGAAAAGGGAGCCAGGAATGGCTAAAGTAGGCGGGGCCCGCTAGCCGGGTCGAGCTGGCGGTCTCCGCACCAAGAAGTACAGTTTCTTCATAGAGGGAGCTCTGGATGGAGAATGGTCTCAACAACCTCGGTTGAGAGACCAGAAGCTATGATTTGTGCCTCCTCAGAGGCCACACCCACAGCTGCCACAGCTCTGGGCGGGGGAGCACCCTCCGCCGTGAGAGGAGATCTCTCCTGACGGGAATCTCCCATGGAGCGCCGTCGAGGAGAGGAATCCGGGTCGAGCTGGCGGTCTCCGCACCAAGAAGTACAGTTTCTTCATAGAGGGAGCTCTGGATGGAGAATGGTCTCAACAACCTCGGTTGAGAGACCAGAAGCTATGAGTTGTGCCTCCTCAGAGGCCACACCGACAGCTTCCACAGCTCCAGGCGGGGGCGCGCCCTCCGCCTGTGCCTGGGAGGAAGTGTTTCAAAGTTAGAAACACGGCCAGCATCTCCAGTCAACTTATGCGCCACCTGAC